GCAACTTACTAAGAGAAAACATCCCAGAAAGCACCTCCACAAAATGACATGATAAAACAGGATCCTCAAGGGCAATTACATATAAGAAAGATTGTGCAAAGTAGTTTGTCATTCTCCAAAGGGTAGAATTTTCCCTGAATCGAAGCAGCTGTAGAAATTCCACTCGTGTTCCTAGCTTCTTCAGAAGAAGTGAATTTTAAACACAGCTGCCTGGAGATATGCATGGTTACAATAACCCAAGTTAGTGACCTATACTGCTTGTTGGAATGTTATCCCACAACAGCTCACAATTTTCTGCAAAAAAAGTTTTATAACTGGTAATATCCCAGGAGAATTTCTACATTTTAACCCGCACAATATTAATATATCTCATGGTGATTTATTCAGTATGATTTACATCCTAATCCAACTTTTCCCCAGTCTAAACAGATATGAAAATGGTGGACCACATTCTAAATTATCAGTAATAATAATAATAATAATAATAATAATCCTTGCATTTGATATAGCGCTTTTCACGTCGGGAGGACGTCCCAAAGCGCTTCACAGAACACACTGTAAAGTGAATTGACTGTATATTTGTGGGCAGTAACTTTCCCACAGACCTTCAAAACCTTTCAGTGTTATTCAACAATTACAAGTTTTCTTTTCTTGATGTCACACTTGCAGCTTGCTTACTTCATATTTTGTAGCAATGGGTTCACATAAAATATTTATTCTGCTGTCATCACTCTTATCCTTAAAAAAAATCCTCCCTGGACCATTCTCTACTCCCCAACTACCACCCCATCTCCAACCTCACTTTCCTCTCCAAGGTCCTGGAACGAGTTGTTGCTTTTCAGTTTCGCTACTTCCTCTCCCACCACTCCCCTCTCGACCCCCTCCAATCAGGTTTCCATACCGTCCACAGCACAGAAACAGCTGTGGTCAAAGTGACAAATGACATTTCTGTCTATCTCCGACCAGGCCTCCCTCTGCCTCCTCGTCCACCCTTGAACTCTCTGCTGCTTTCAACACTGTCGACCACTCTATTCTCAACCACCACCTCTCCTCTCACCTCAACGGCTCTGTCCTTGACTGGTTCAGATCGTACCTCTCACACCCCCTGCACTTCATCTCTTCAAACAAGTTTTGCCTCTAGCCCCCGGACCGTCTTTTGCGGTGTTCTTCAGGGCTATGTCCTTGGTCCTCACCCCTTCAATATCTAAATGCTCGCTCTTGGTGACAATCATCCACAGACATGCTATCAACTTACACACGTATGCAGATGACACCCAACTCTTATCTCTCTGCCTCCACCATTGACTCCAGGACCACTGCTGTGCTGACAGAACGTCTGTCAGACATCAAGTCCTGATTGAGGGCTAATTTTCTTCAATTGAATGTCAACAAGACAGAGATTCTCTGATTGGCTCCTGTCAGCGCCTCCTCACCTCAGGAGCTGACAGCATCACCATCCATGGTTGCACACTCTTCCTTGCTAAGCCAATCCAGAACCTTGGGGTCTTGTATGACCCTCAACTATCCTTTCTAACCCATATTTGCACCATAACCCACTCTGCCTTCTCCCACCTTCGCAAATTTGCCTGGCTCTGCCACTATCTCACACCGCAGGCTGCCGAAACCCTCATACATGTTTTCATTACATCGAGGCTCGACTATGCTAACTCATTGCTTGTCGGCCTCCCCAACTCCTCCCTCCACAGGCTGCAGTGTCCTCTCCTGCACTATGTTCCCGCGACTCTATCACCCCCATCCTTGCCCAACTCCACTGGCTTCCCATCACACAGAGGATACAGTTCAAGATCCTGGTCCTCACCTTCAAAGCCCTCCACGTTCTTGCTCTTCCCTACCTCTGCAATCTCCATCCCCCTACCATTCTGCTCACTGCCTCCGCTCAGCGGGCTCCGGCCAACTTCACATCCCCCACCTTGCTCGCCCCATTATTGGCAGGTGGGCCTTCCGCCACTCTGCCCCCACCTTCTGGAATTCCATCCTGCAGTTCCTTCGTCCATAACTCTGTCTGCCCAGCGCCTTGGGATGACCTCCCAATATGAAAGGTGCTTTACAAATTTTGCTATTGTTGTTATTCTAATACATTAATGTCTCCCATTCATGGACTGTCTTATGTATTTATCATAGTACAGGAAATTCTGAAATTGCTTTAATGAAGATAGGCTTCGGATAATAGAGCTCATGAAAATGGTTCACCTTTGGTCAACAGGATAAAGGTTTCAATGAACTACACAAATATAAGGTAAGTTACTTCTAAGGTAATTTCTACATTCAACAAACTACAGTTCTATTACCACTGCATGGCAAATGGTTATGAAAGTTACAAGGTTGGAGTGTAGGAAGTCTTGGGTCAGTAGTTTTAAAAAGATCGGACTCGTTAAGACTCATATTGTGGTGGTGAAGGATTATAAATGCACATCTAAGAATATAGAAGAATTTGTAGGCCATTTGTCCCATCAGTCTGGTTCCGTCTTAGAAGGCTGAATCAGAAGGTTGTCGATTCAAGCCCCATGTGGGACTTTGAGCTCACAGGCTAGACTGGCACTTCAATGCAAGTATCCAAGACCTCACTGCAATCCAAATCTGTGATAGATAAAAAAAATGTAACTCATGTCCCGCCATGCCATGGCACCACTGGACTGAATTACTTTGATTTTATCCAATGTAACTGAGAAGCAAGTACATCAAGCTCCTATTCAGTTTCAGCAATCCAAGGTAGATCTAGCAAGTCCAAGGAATTACTCTGCAAGGCCAGAACCTCATATCTCAGGAGATAGAACACTTATCAAAGCACAATAAACTATTGTATATTTATTATTTGGGAAGTGTAAGAGATAATTTCCAGTATATGATTCACAATTCTGAGTAGTGTTTCAAGTTAGTAAACAAGGAACCCATTTTATGTACATATCTATACAAACTGATTAAATGTGCAAGTTCACATATTCAAATGTACTGCTAATGTTATGTTTAAGCACTCCCCCAAGGGAGAAAGAGAAATGATCATTGTAATGTCTATAACTGGACTTTGCTTTAGATAGTTTTCAATCAAGCGAACTTTTTAAAACACATCTTTAATAATTGCTGAATTTCCCCTTGATTCGCAGGGGGACATCTCTAAGCCCATTTTGCAATTTGTAACGGCCCTTTTATCTTATAGGCTACTTTTATAAACAATTCAAACAGAGCCGGTTCTGAAATAGCTAGAAGCTGCTGGTGTAGGCAGAAGAAACCTGAAGGGACTAAACACATGCACACATACACAGACAAAGTCCTCTACAAGCCTTGAATCTTTCAAGTCATGAACAATGCAAAACTGAGGAAGGGACTGTACAAGCAACAGGCTGTCAGGTTGTCTTGCGTGCTGTTCCCTCAATCAAAATAGAGCAAGGGCTGTTGTAATATACATAGGATAATAAAGAGGAAGATAAGAATAATTCATGAAGGAAAATTGAGTTTCATTTCAAATTAAATTATTTTATCTTTCAACTGCATAAAGATAATGTGAAATGATTAACATTTTACAGTAACTATATTGCAACCATTTACATGGAGGCATAACTTAAACACAGTTTGATGAGCATAAAATCTTAAGTTTCCCTTTAAATGAATTAAAAAAAATCAGAAACAGAAAAGTAAAAGGATTTAGAAAGTCAATACAGCTTTATCCATTAGAGTGAAATGCATACAAAAACATTAATGTTTTTCAATAAAGCCAGCCAACATCATTTATTTTCTTCAACAATGCCAAAGAACATAAATGAAGTGAAAAACTCAACTATGCTATAAATATAATGCATCTCATCACAGTTCTAATTAAACAATGAGGATCACAAACTGGACGGTTTCCCAGTTATACCGCTGATGTTTGGCGACACCATGTGGACAGTACAGAAGAATACACGACAGGAAAAAAAAGGCTATTACACATCCACAAACTTTAGGACACATGTAGAGGGAGGAAAGTAGAGAAAAACACACTTTAGTTGTAATTTGGAAAGTGACAGGGTATTGTTTCCAAAAATACCATCAGATATTTAATTTGGGGAGATGCCAGGGACAAAAGATTTTTTGTACCTGCCTACATAATTTTGTTAAAACAACTTATTTGATATAAAATACCTTTTATACCAGTTATATCGCCTTGTTGGTTTTGAATGAGGGGAGGTTGGGAAAGAGAAGAGAAACACTTATTGAGAAACCATAATAATAATAATAATAATAATCCTTGCATTTGATATAGCGCTTTTCACGTCGGGAGGACGTCCCAAAGCGCTTCACAGAACACACTGTAAAGTGTATATTTGTGGGCAAACGCGGCAGCCAATTGCGCACAGCAATAATAATAATAATAATCCTTGCATTTGATATAGCGCTTTTCACGTCGGGAGGACGTCCCAAAGTGCTTCACAGAATACACTGTAAAGTGAATTGACTGTATATTTGTGGGCGAACGCGGCAGCCAATTGCGCATAGCAATGTCCCACAAACAGTCGTAGATTTAAAATGACCAATTTAATTATTGTTTTTAGTTTTGGAGGGATTATTATTAGGCGTGTGGAGTAAGGAAACTTGCCCAAGGTTTCGCCCTGACCTGCCGGGGATTGAACCCAGGTGTCTCACTTGCAAAGCGAGTGCTCTAACCACTGAGCTACAGGACTCCACCATCTTTGCCACCAAAGAGCCATTTTGTCAAATAGTCAAGTACACCCCGGGAACACAATTAATTGCTTGGAGTGCAAATACACTTACAAGATGACTGCTCCCCTTGCAAAACATATTTCCTAAAACAGAAGGAAACGACCAACAGTTTTATACAGTTGCAAAATAAGATTGGAATTTATTTTGAAGCATCTCTACCATCAATAAAATAAATTTTATAGAAAGTCAAGTTTTGTTGCCCATTTTGTGCAACGTTGGAACTAATTAATTCACATTTTTGGGCACTGATATTTGGTATGGTTTGACTTCTTTTTCTCACTCACCACTGAGAAGTTCAATCCAGCTCTGCACCGTTTCCGGAGGCTGCGTTTCCTTAATGTGTTTCAAGGCTTCATCAAGCAAAACGTCCCCAGTAGGAGCATCCGACTTACAAATCACCTAGTGGAGATTAAACAAAACTACTATGAGCCAAAAGGTATCCAACATTCCCAAATTGTTGATTTCTTAAATTTACAAAAAATGACCTGTAAAATATCCTGCAGTAATTTCTCCATTGAAACGGTGGTTTGGCTGCATCTGGGGTATGGTACAGTCAGAGGCCGGCAATCTGGCAGAGGTAGAGGAAGGCGGTCCTGGTTAAGGACCGAATGTGGGGAAGGATAGCTGTGCGTCGGAGGGAAAGGCTGGGGAGGTTGAGGAGGTTTTATAAATATATTAAGAGGAAGAGAATGGTGAAGGGGAATGTGGGCCCGTTGAAGACGTAGGTGAGACTATAACGGAAAATAAGGAAATGGCTGACTTGTTAAATCAATACTTTGCTACCATTTTTAGGGTAGCGGATGAGGACAAAATACCAGCCGTGCAGGGGAACCTAAAAATAAGTCAAAGTGAAATGCTTAATAAAATGAATATAAATTTTAAAAAAATGGTAATGGAGAAAATAATGAGAATCAAGATAAACAAATCTCCAGGACCTGATTGTTTTCACCCCAGGGTGTTAAAGGAAATAGGAGAGGAAATTGCAGATGCATTTGTCAAAATTTTCCAAAGCTCACGAGATTCGGGAATTGTGCCCTTAGATTGGAAAATTGTGAATGTCACCCCATTATTTAAGAGGGGAGGGAGGGAGAAACCAGGAAGCTACAGACCTGTCAGCTTAATGTTAGTTGTAAGGAAAATACTGGAATCCATCATCAGGGCCAGAGTGATTGAACACTTGGACAGGTATGAGCTAGTCAGCATGAGTTTGTGAAGGGTAGGCCATGTCTGACTAATCTAGTTGAATGTTTTGAGGTGACTAAAATGATAGATAAGAATGTGTATGGATGTCTTTTATATGGACTTTCAGAAGGCATTTGATAAGGTTGGAATATTTTCTTAATGGGAGAGAGACTAAGAACTGTGGAGGAGCAAAGAGATGTGGGTGTCCATATCCACAAATCACTAAAAATGAGTTCCCAGGTGCAAAAAGTAATCAAAAAGGTGAATGGATTGTTGCCTTTATCTCACGGAGCCTGGAATACAAAGGGGAAGAAATGATGCCTCAGCTGTATAGAGCGTTAGTCAGACCCCATCTGGAGACTGCATTCAGTTTTGGGCACCACACCTTTAAGATGATAGAGAGATTCATTAGGGTAGATAAAGAGCAGCTATTCCTCTGGTGGGGAATCCAAAACAAAGGGCAAAGCCTTAAAATTAGAACCAGGCCATTTAAGAGTGAAATCAGGAAGCATTTTTTCACTCAAAGGGCGGTAGAAATCTGGTATTCTTTCCCCCAAAAGGCAGTGGATTCTGGATCCATTCACACTTTCAAGAGTGAGGTAAAGAGATTTTTGGTAGGTCAGGGTATCAAGGGATATGGGGAGAAAGCGGGAAATTGGAATTGACAGGATTAATTGAGGTACAGATCAGCCACAATCTAATTGAATGACGGAACAGGCTCGAAGGGCTGAATGGCCGACTTCTGTTCCTATGTTCCAAGGTAATAGGCGTAGGACAAAAGTCGTTGACGAGAACCGATGAGTATGGTACTAAAGACATAGTTCAACGTTTACATTTTCTAGGAAAAAAGTAGGATTATAAAATCATTCCAATTAATCATCTAACCATTTTGACATACAAGATAAACTATTTGGTTGCCACAAAATGTATTCTAGGTATTCTATCCTTTCAGTGTTGCATACAGAAACAATATTTGGGTAATTTTGTTTCATAGTTTGGTCATCACAGCACAGTTAGGCACAAATCTCTTAAATTTTACAATTTACTTTTCCTATTTTTATGTTAAAATGCTCATTAATAATAATCCTTGCATTTGATATAGCGCTTTACCACTTCTTCAAGATGTCTCAAAGCGCTTCACAGATTATAATGTAAAGTGAATTGGTTTTGTAACCTATGTATTTGTGGGAAAATCATTTTAAATAAGATACAAATATAAATGGTACAAAATACAAAAATAAAAGGGACCTCATTTTTTTTAAAAAATGAAACTCGTCTCACACTGTAGTGATTTCCAAAAAAATGGAGATTCTAAATTCTTTTTAAAGCAAAAATCTCATTTTAAAATCAACTTAGTATTTTAGACACAACAACAAAATTAAATTTGTATAGCGCCTTTCATGTCCGGAGTGGGTCTCAAGGCGCTGGACAGTCAGTGTTTCGGAGCCGAGCTGGGGGTCGGGAAGGGAAGGAGGGTTATCAAAAGCACGGTCAAAGAGGAGGGTCTTGAGATGTGTCTTGAAGGAGGGGCGAGTTCCAGCGGGTGGGGGGCAGAGTGGCAGAAGGCCTGCCCGCCAATGGTGGGGGGGGGCGAAGCAGGGGCCAGAGCAGGCCGGAGCCCTCTGAGCGAAGGGAACGAGCAAGATGGTAGGGGGTTAGGAGGTCACAGAGGTAGGGGAGAACAAGGCCATGGAAGGCTTTGAAGGTGATGATGGTGAGAGTCTTGAACTGTGTCCTCTGTGTGATAGGAAGCCAGTGGAGTCGGCCGAGGATGGGGATGATAGGGTCTCGGAGCCTAGTGCGGGAGAGGACACGGGCGGCAGAGTTCTAATTGCAACAAAGCTACTACCAGGAAAACACAATGTGGTTAAACAGCATGTGGATTATAAGGGCATTCTACATAAGAACATAAGAAATGTTTTGATAGGTAGACATAGGGAAGATGTTTCCACTTGTGGGAGAGACCGAAACCAGAGGCCATCAACATAAAATAATTACAAATAGATCAAATAGGGACATTCGAAGAAATTTCTTCACAGAGAGTAGTGGGAATGTGGAACATGCTACCGCAAGGAGTTGTTGAGGCAAATAGCATGGATGTATTTAAGGGAAAGCTGGATAGGTACATGAGGGAGAAAGGAATAGAAGGGTATGCTTGAAGGCTTAGTTGAGGAAGGGCAGGAAGAGGGTCATGTGGAGTATAAACACTGGCAAAGACCAGTTGGGTCGAATAGCCTATTTCTGTGCTGTATATTCTAATGTAAATGCTTGACAAAAGGATACACCATCTTAAATAGAAATGCAAGCAAAACATGGAAAACCCTCACTTGCAAAAGCCTTTGACCAAGGAAACTGGGAATTATTCAAAGAGCAATTAAAATGTAGTGAAATATACAAACCTGCATTTTTCACTCCATCTGTTTGGCTCAAATTACAACAGTCCTATTTTACAAAATAAATCTGTTGCTGAATGTTGGCACAACTTTACAGTACAACAGCTCAACTGAAAACTGGCTCCCCTGCAACTGTGTCTGCCAGCACCTTGGAAAGGAATGGTCTGACCACACATTAAAATTGTAATGGTATCAGAGTAATAAGGAGCCAACCTTAGGTCACTCAAAAACAGATCCATCTCTTTGTTGACCAAATTCTGACTCACCTTTTCTAAGTTTTTATTTGGTCAACCGGGTGTCCGACACATATGGAAAACCCATCACCCAGGACAATAGAAAAGTGCGGAAACATTTGCCTGAAATTGGGGGGTATTAGCCGATTTTGCGGAAAATTGTCGAGAGATTTTTGACAAATTTTGCAGAAAATGATTGGTGCTATTGATGTTTAATTTACTGCCAACCTACATTTTTTCATTTCATTGATAAAAACTAAACATGAGGAAATAACAGATTAGAATTTGCAAAAAATATTAATTGCTTCTTAATTAATTGCTAGTTTTGCAAAAACTGGGTGGCCTTTTGGGCGGGCGAGGGGGAACCAACGAGGCTACAGGAGCTCTCAGGACCCAGCACCATACACAGACCCAGACAGACACACACACACACACACACATATTCACAGACAGAGAGAGAGAGACACACACACACAGAAGCAGAGAGAGGCACACACTGAGAAACACAGAGACACGTATTCTCAAAGAGAGATACACACTTACACAGACATTCACAAACACAGAGACACACACGTAGACACACCCACAAACACAGAGAGAAAGGAACACACACACACATACAAATGCATATAGAGAGACACACACACAGACAATTATACACTCCCATAAACACAAAGAGACACACACACAAAGACAATCACAACAGCAGGGCCTCCGAGTGAAGCCCATTTGCCTCTTGCGCCGCACTGCGTGGGCACGTCCGGAGCTGCCCTGCCCATATTTCGCCAGGCGAACAGCCAGGAGGCCCGCGGGCCAGAAACTATATTTGTAGTGAGTCTGTAGCAGATGGTTTGTTTGTGGCGGATTCTGCGGGTAACTAAGAGTGTCCAAACTAAGCTGAGATTTCCATGCATCCCACCTACACATGGAAATTCCAGAGATAGATTGTTGGAATGGAATGTGCACTCTCTCCTTGGAAGGACGCATCCTGGTTACCTAATTCCGGAAAGTATTAGGCGCAGGCTGGCAAGAGCCAAGGCTTGGGGACAGCAGAGTGTGTGTTGGGACTGCTGGAGTCTAACCAGCTAAAACCGAATAGCATGTCATTGATATTGCTTGTCCAGCTAGGACCACCCTGCCCAGTTGGGCTTTGGCTTGTAGGGTTAATAGGAGCTGAGTGGGATAACTCCCTACCCCCAATGACTAGTCTGCCCTTCCAAGTCCTATCGATGAGCCAGTGCTGTCATCAGAATACTGTGGTCCCACCTATCCAGAGTGAATGCTAACAGACAAAGGTCAAGTACACAAAAGAAAATTTTGAAGGAATAAGGCCCTTCAGCCTCATCTGAACTTCCAGCTCATTTGCTTCCAACATAACATGTAGAACTACAGCTTAATCTGCAGAATCCATGTTATGCCTTCATGCAGGTGTGTGCCTCACTCCTCTTCCCTCTGTGTGCGCAGATGGGCTTGTGAGAGATGGGAGGCACTGCGCATGCGCGTCTGGGTTCCAGACAAGCCAGCATACAGAGAGGCGCCCTCATGCATGCACGGTGCCTTTCTCCATTCACAACCACTCCCAAACAGGGGAAAAGAGAGAGACAGAGAAAGAGTAACTCATGCACAGTTGGCGTCAGGCCATGTTACCCTTGATAGGGCTTTGCAGCGTTTATTGGATAAATACCGATTTCATTATTTTAAAGAAGTGCGTTTTCGGTTATGACCAAAATCAGAAGCCCTAATTATAAACACTGGAATTAACCCATTCATTGTATGTAGTTTTTTTTAAGAAAAGAAAATGCCTTGTTAACCTTGTGAGAAATAACTAATTTTTACAATAAAACTTAGGTAGAATTCAGCCTCAATAGATAAAAGCAGATAGTGAAATGGAAGTATTGAACAATTCCAGTCCTTGGAAATGAGGCAAAAGTTCTAAGTTAGAATTCATACAGTTCTTACCTTCCTAATTAGTAGACTTTTGCGTCTCATTCCACAAGACTCCAGTTGCAAGCGTCCTCTTATTGCCAATTCAATCAGCATGCAACCACGCAGTCCAGATGAAATACAGTCATTCCAAAATGAGGTGTAACCCTATAATACAAGGAAACACACTAGAATTAGCTTTCCATTAAGAAGCTGTGAATATGAATACACTGCAAATTGAGAGTTTCCATAATTGTATCATGTAGTTCTTCTCCAGAACCTTTCATAGGATCAAGCTGAAACCAACAAAATAAGAGTATAGGAAATGGAACCAATCATAACTGTGACCAGAATCCAAACCTGGAATGATGGAGTATCATTAATATAATAATAATATTATTATTATTATCATCATTAATATAGGTTTGCACAATGGGGAAGCCAAAAGCATACGTCAAGCAACCACCTCAAATCAGCAACCACCCACCATTAAGAATCACCCTGGAACAGCTTCTTCATAATTCTATAAACACCATTGAAACCTTATTCTAAGGCCACCCTTATATACAGGACATTTGGCCCAGTCCCCTGAGAAGCCGTTGAAGGCAGGTTTAGACTGTAGAATTTACACTTATATAGCATCAGGAGGTGGTTCCAAAGGACTGAACAATTCTGGCTGGTCACCCGAGCTGCGGGTGGGAGTTGAGGGAGGTAAAGAGAGGAAAGATGATCGAAAGCGTGGCTGAAGAGGTACGTTTTGAGGCTTAAACGCCGATTTACCTCACATTACGTAGGAACTCGTTTGTTAGTCGATTGACTTATCACTTTTCCTGTGGTAATAATCCCTTCAAAAATAATAATAATTTGGTCACTCAATCTACGACTGTTTGTGGGACACTGCTGTGCACAATTGGCTGCCGCATATCACCCACAAAATATACAGTCAGATCACTTTACAGAATATGCGGGGCAGGCTCGAGGGGCCGAATGGCCTACTCCTGCTCCTAATTCTTATCTTCTTATGCTGTGGAGCTCTTTGAGACGTCTCGAAGATGTGATAAGAAGCTATATTAAATGCAAGGATTATTAACAACTGACTTGGAAGCTGGTTCTTTTTAAGAACTCTGGAAAACCGAGGATTTCTGCTTATCAAATGCAAGAATTATTATTATATTCAAAGAGGGGAAGGAGAGAGCAAGTCAAAGGGCAAATAATGCAAAAGGGGTTCCTTAATTCTCCAAAACTCCCGTTTTGCTTATAAAATCCTTCCACTTTGTGGAGCTTCATCACACAGGAATACTCAACCTACAAAAAAAACTATTTTGTAGCATTTAGTTTTTGACAATCTCATTTCCAACATTTCTAAAAAGTTCACAAGAACTACAATGAAGCTGAATTCAAGTTATTAACAAGATTGTTGAACAGATGTTATTTTCTACATGCATTTTCTACAATTGCACAGCTATATCTTAATCATTAGTGGAACACATATCTGATGAACTATTGGCAAAAAAGTTCATAGAAGTACAACATAAGCCTCGTGCTGGCCTCATCCATCTGCAGAACAGGTGAAGGAATTCATCCCAAATGATTGCTAGAAATGTTATTTCTGTGGTTGGCAAAACCAGTGGAAGAAGCAGCAAGAAGGTTGTAAATCTTAAAATTTGAAGACGTTTTAAATGGGGTTATCTATTTATTGAAAACTGCTGCAGTATGGAAAAATTATATTGGTAATAATCACTTCCCTAAAATACATCTACGCTCTTCAAAATTTAATCTATAAAATTGGGCTACGCACCTGTGGCTAAAATTGAGAATCAATTTGTGCATTTTTTTAATGAACGTTTCACCACTTCCAAGCTCACTTTCCATCTTTTTCATCGTTCTTTGTTCCACGTTAACACTTTCAATCTGAATCTACTGTTATCTCAATTTACTGATACAGTTGCTGGCAGCATCAAAAAAAAATCCTTTTTTTTGAAAACGAGTTTCACACATGCGCTGCATTTTACGGTGATAAATAATTTAATATACATGTTTTGGCCAGCCAACATATGCGGAAACCCATCATCATGCTTCAAAACATCCAAACCAGACGGGAGTTCCACGCATGCCATCTATATGTAAAAATTCCAGTGTTTGAAATGCGTATTCTCTCCCCAGAGGGACGCATCCTGATTACCTAATTCTGGAGAGTATTGGGCACAGATTGGCAAAAACCAAGACTTGGGGGGCTCCAAATATCCATTGGGCTACTGCTGGAGTTTAATTACCTAAACCTGCAAAGCTTGCCATGAAAAGTACACTGGCAAGTTTCTACCTATGAGGGCTTTAGCTTCCAGGGATAATGGTAGCTGAGTGGGAAGAGGCCCCCACCAGAGGTGAAACATTCTGCTCTCCAAGTCTCACTGATAAGCCAAACGGGTTGGAATATCATCAGTAGTGCCCTGGAGTACTATGGAACCCCCCCACTCCCAGGCCCCGGCTAAGAACTGGACTCCCCAGATCACCAGAGGACTGCCTTGATTCCAACATTTGTTTTATAATAATCCCTGCATTTGATATACTGTAGCTCCTCAAAGCATTTCCTAGGGTTTACTGTAAAGTGGTGACTCTTTCTGTGGGTAAATACTCAATTTACTAGTTTACAGTATAAATTTATTCATTTTCAAGAAAATTCTGATTCCTCCTGATGACGTTTTCAAAATGTAAACGACATGTGGCCTACAAATATAGAATGCTGAATATAAATAAACAAGCAGAATAACGGAGATGTAGCAACGCATTTTGTGAACAGATTTTAAAGTCAGTGCTCTCTTTTGCTCAGGAACATGATTGCAGATCTGTACCGTGTTAAATTGCAAGCGACAAAAACAGGAACGAGATACTGACTGCCATGTACTCTGGTACATAAAGGCTTCTTTGTGGCAAACTGAGGCTCTATATTAGCTTTGGGTTAGTACATATATGAATAGGTCTTTGGTGAAATTCTAGAGGTCAAGTCAAACCATTAAATGGTTTGGAAACTATTTCCAGGAATTTTGGTCCTGTACAAGAAGGCTGTTGATTTGGAAAACAAACTGAACATTTATTGCACAAGAGTTAAAATACTTAATTTCCAGGCTTTCCAAATTTACTAGAATGTATACTTTATTTTCACTGCTGGTTTGATGCGTTATGTACAGCCTTGATGGCTTTCAGCTGGGACTTCCATCATTGATCACAAATTTGGTTACTTATCACCAAAAATCACAAAATGTAATTTAACAAATATTTTTTTAAGCAGCACAAAAACATGACAAGTCTGTACAACAAGAAACTGCAATCTGGGTCTAGATTCTCCCCAGCAATTTTTTCCTGTACCTTTTAGATTAGATTTACAACAATAAATCTTGCATTTGATAAGGTGTCTATATTATTGAAATGTCCCAAGTGTTTTAGAAGTGATTACTGTTAACTGTAGTGACTTTGTTTTAAACCAAATGTGGCACAATTAATTAATAATTTGAAGAATGATTTGCCTTGACACCAGATCTCCCTTGTCTTTTCAAATAGTGTCATGGGATCTTAACAATGAAGTGATCCCCCAGCTCAGATTAAGCTCTGAGCACAGGTCCCAACGCGAGGCTTGAACTACACGTGGGGATTCAACTGACAACCTTCTGATCCATTTTCACTCACAGCCAATATACAACCTTTGTGTCTTGTTTGACTCCCAACTGTCCTTTAAACCTATCAGTGCCTTGAGCTGCTCAGCTTTCCCTACTTACGATATATTACCCACTTCCACCACTACCTCTTTTCTCAGGCTGCCGAGACCCTCATCCATGCATTCATCATGTCCAGTGACTATGCCTACACTCTGCTCACCAGTCTCCCCAGCTCTTCATACACCAGCTACAGCCTACCCAGGACACTGAAGCCCATGTTCTTTCCCGCACCAGGCACTGCGGGTCAATCAACCCTATCCTCGCACAGCTCCATTTGTTCCTTGTTCTAACCCTTAAATGGTCTTGCCCTCAAACCTCACCGACCCAGTCAATACCTTCGCTCAGACACCAGCCTGCTTCACGTCCCTTTTCGTACCCACTCAAAGCTGCTAAAGTAGGAGGAGAACTGGACCTTCAAGCTTGTGGTGCCAGTTTATTACATTACGGCAGAAGATTCAATCCCACTTCGTATTTTTAACTATTCAGTGGCCCAGTGGTAGCACATCTCTTCAGGTGGACAGATCTCATGACACTATTTGAAAAAAGGGAGTTTCTCCAAGTGTCATGGCCAACAACCCCTAAATAAAAGTAGTCGTGTTCCATGGCTGTTTCTAGGACATGGCTGTGCGCAATTGTGTTGCCGCGTTTGCCTACAAATACACAATCACTCCATTTAGCAATAAATCTTGTGAAGTGCCTTGAGACATCCTACTGACGTGAAAATACGCTACACCAAATGCAAGGATTATTATTATTTCCCAAGTAATCCCCTTTTAATATCCCAATTAGTTTAGCACTATAATCTTTTTGGGCAGTATATTCCACCTCCTACTGGAGTCCTGTAGCTCAGTGGTTAGAGCACTCGCCTTGCAAGTGAGAGAAAAACGCTATATCAAATGCAAGGATAACTATTATTACTGTGTAAGAAACGGTTTCTTATTTCACTTCTACAACTAACCGACGAGGTAAAGAATGTTTCTCAGCTGAATATCTATATGAAATTAAATATTCTTTCTGAAAATAATTTTAATTTAAAGCAGCAACAAAATTACATTTATAGAGCGCCTTTCACATCGGGAGGACTTCCCAAAGTGCTGAAAGCAGAATAGTGCTCTTATTCTGCCAAACTAAGAAGACTGGAGCTCAATACATCAGTCATTTAACCTGATAAGGAGAAAAATGGGATCATGTTGACCTATTCAACATAAATGCTCAATTTTGCAGTGCAATCTGATCCTCTCACCAAATAAATTCTCCTATTTGTTTAACTTCTGAGTATATGTGCTTCGCAGTCCTGTTGATTGATGCACAAATTATGTGCTCACAGGCAACCTATGAACCTTGCAATGGTGGACAGATGACTTCAGTTCACAACATGTATTTGACATCCAAAAACATTCCTTTAATGCCAGAACCACTCACATTTGTTACTTGCATTTGTCAAGGTGAAGATGTGTA